AAATTTTAATTGGTATCTCTCACTCATCTATATCCAATCACTACAAACAGCCAAACGGGCATTTAAAATACTAGGTCTATTATTCCTACAGTAAACCTACCTTTTAAGTAAAAACTCAAAAGTTCAGTAGGGCAGTTGTAGGTACCAATAGTACGAGTACTTATATGCCACCCTGGCGTCCACTGAGCTCAAAAAATTGTACAAGCTATACACCTGTCTTTTTGAACTATGTACCATTTGTATTACTTTTTGGAAATAATATCATACACTTGTACAATACTTTTCATCCTAAAATATTCTAACTTTAACTCTAGGGAATCCCTAGTAAGGATTACCTACATTATATGATACTAGCTGATCCCGTTCACTCCGTTGCTCGTTAAAAATTAAAACTCTGTACCTGTGAAACTCGCTTGTCATAATGCGAGCAGCATATTATCAGTTGGACAATCACGGACGCCGCTAGGTGCATACTCTATAATATGTTTTATTTTTATTTATATTTTGATTGTGCACACGTGCCTTGGTAGGCAATTTACATAAATTTGATTTGATGCATGCTTAGCATGCATCCGAACTGCCCGATAACCAATGGCAACTGAAAAACAAAAAACCTATTAATTTCTGCTAAAAAATTAAGAATAGGTTTTCGAATTTCACTTCTCGTAACAATTAATATCTACACGCCGATCCAACACATAATTTAACGGACAAAAAGGTCAAGTTACAGGTAGCTAGAAACCCGCGGAAATCCGTATATATATATTTATAGTTGCGTTTTGTTGTACCCCGTTTTATGTCATGTTCCACGGGAACAAGTTAAAACACATCCTATGTCCGTCTCCTGGTTCTAAGCTACATCTCCACCGATTTTCAGCTATATCGGTTCAGCCGTTCTTGAGTTATAAATAGTGTAACTTACACAACTTTCTCTTATATTATATATAGATTTTACATTCTGAGAGGAGCGATGAATGTATTGATTTTACGGAGATGTTTGTTTTTTTGTGAGTGTAAAGTTTTATAGTTGAAAAAATGCTTCGATCTTAAACTTTAAGCGTAGTCTCTGGTAGAAAATGTTATCTATAATTGTAACTATGGAGAGATTAAAATAAAAAATTCCCAATATTTTTAATAGTAATTGGGAAAAACAAAAACGAAGGAAAACTAAAATTGAAACAATTATAAAACGAATATTCGTAAATTGGTACTTGAAATTTTCACCAAATATTTAAATAAGCTTGGTATAATTTATAATTATACAATTTTTGACTGTTTTTGAGGTGTATATATATATATATATATATATATAATAAATATAAAGAATAATTTCACAAATATCTTTTATAGCCGCCTGAAGTTTAAATTTGGATGATATTGGATATTCAAAAGTAAAATAACAATTTTTCATCAAACAATCTTAGTTTTTTAAGTTGCTACTCAAAAAGTATTTATTTCATTATTCGAGAAAATTTTAACATTTTACTGTCATGCATTTAGTAAATAATCATAGGCCAAGATATTATATAAAAAAATGAACTCACATCAGTAATGTAGTGAAAAAGCCTAACTGTAACGCCGCGTGATCGTACTTTTCATGTTTCAGTTTTTAAATAATTCTTCAAAAACACGATATCTTGAAACATTTTTTGTAGTCACAAATGTGTACAGTTTTTAGTTTTAATACCCAAAGATTGAAATTTTGAAAAAAAGTTTTATCTTTTAGTTGTATTCATACCGCTTAGCTAGGTGCGGTAAAAGTCATAATAATAAATAACAACAAATATTATGATGTATTTTAATGATTATAATTAATAATATGTATAATAAAAGCCACGCTGTCTGCAAAAATAAATTCAACTTACAGTATTGCTAATGATTAATAAAATATCATAAAATACATATACAGTAGGTACCTATTATGGGCTGACAGACCGTCTTCGGTCAGAATCTTTTTTCGTACCTTTGCAAAGATTTATCAACAATTGAAATTTAACACATTCGTTGCAATGTTTTACTCCTACCGTGCCTACAGAGGCGCAAATTCGCGGTCACCTTATGGTTAATTTATTTTTTTTCAATTTAACAGTCGTGTGGTCAGTGTACCACAGACACCTAAATATATTACAGTAATAATTTTTCTGATGGGCGTGCTTAAGGTACCTGCGATCAGCCCAAGTATTTCTTATTTTTCACAAATCGTGATGAAGAGACTGCGAAACTCGTAAGGGGACTAAGTGAATGTGACAGTTGACCTAGCCCTAGACCAGTGCTTCCCAACCTTTTTACCACCACGGACCGCTTCGACAATATTCTATAGGTCACGGACCACCTCAATTGTACGAAAACTAGGAAGATCTTGTTTTTTTTGCTCATTAACAAGTATAATACGGTTCCTCAATAAGTTGAGATGTTTTTCGCTATTTAAAAAAAAAAAAATTTGTAATAGAAATCGAAGAAAAATTCTATGGGGTACTGCGGACCACCTATGACTGGCCCACGAACCACCGGTTGGGAAACACTGCCCTACACCCTAGGGTCTAGTTCTGGCGCTCTACTATACGTCTCATCGCGGCGATAACGATAACCACGGTAGAGGGTAGACGATCATGACCACGCCATCTGTTCGTTAATAGAGTGTGGTAGGAGTCTTAGTACAACTGTAGCCCGCCACGGGACGTGCCATACGCACTACCGGCTTGATCAGTACAATATTTTCCTATCGACCAAGTCTCTCATTTATTTTCGCAAAAGGTATATAGTATATTATTATTATAGTCATATATTTTTTTAACATCCTAAATGTTCGTACGATGTGCATCTATGAAATATAAATATCATGTCATTACGATTCATCACAGAATTGCTTTCAACGGAACAATATTTGGCGAATCGATTTTTCAACGATAAATCGGCAACGTGTAAACAACAGACGTAAAGTTCTTCCAATATTTCTTGGTTAGAAAATTTTACAGGATAAACTGGATTCTTTTAATGTAACATATTTTGCTTAGTGTTTATGAAACGGAGTCAACACATGCCGGTACGATGCCTTCTTAACACGTTCAATACCACGACGGTCGACACGTAGTCGACAAAAAATGCATTGCCCCGGACGCCGTTGTCGACAAATTAGTTACCTATTGACTTAAATGTCTCATAACTTTTGCTGGAGTTGTTTGATTGTATTGAATTTTTCTTCTGGCCATTTGTGATTACATTACTAATTGAATGGTGTATTTGGTTTTACATTTGGTCTAAAAATACATCTGTTATTTCAACTTTTCCCGGAATGTAGAGACGGAGTTCCTTTTACCTGTATAATACTAACAACTAACATAATATATTGCATATCGTCGTCTAATAAAGTAATAAATATTATTTGACATCTTTAATAGATGTTAATATTATTTATAAAATTCAATTTTTCCCGGGATGTAGAAACGGAGTGGCTTTTATTACTATTGTCTATTACTTATTAGTATAATTCTAATATACGTATATATAATGCATATTATCGGTTAATTAATATTATTAGATGTTATTAGTTAAATATATTATTTATAAATTATAAGAAAATATTTGTATAGGTTCTACATCTGAAATTATATTAGATATACACGTACCTATGTGTACACCATGTTGTTTCGCCGGTGGCCGATGTCGACAGAGCATAAATTCGTTGCGGCGACGCGGTATCGGAACCACAAATAGGCATCGGCATTGACCGTGTTAAGGGGATTTCACACTACCTTTTTTTTAAGAAAAATACACCTATACGCATTCCAACGTAGATCGTACTGACTTGATTTTAACAGCGATAGTAATTTCGAAAAAGAAATTTAATTTTGCTGTTGAGTCAACTTTGGACCTTACAATATGTCATTGGGAAATAAATAGTTTTAAAATGTTTTTATATAACTATCTCAACTTGTGGAGTACGTTGGAATGTGTATAAGAGGTCCATTTGCTCCGAATTCCAATGAATGGTAGTGTAGAATCCGTAAAAAAAATATTTTTATTTGCAATGGTATTGAACATTTTTTTTTTTTTTGATAATTCAATATTTACACCTTGTTGACCATGTACATTATTAAAAGACTAGACAAAAAAATAATATTTCAGTATTCCTCGAGGTAGACAGTAGTCCATAGACATGAAACCAGATATAAATCAACTTTATAACTATTGTAAAAAAACCATTCTCAAGGTCATGTATTTTATTAGTTATGAATTAATGTAAATAAAAAGTACAACATTGAAATATTTTTGAAATATTTATATCACAATATAAATTCATATTAAAAAAAAATATTTTTTCTTTCAATTTAAAATTGTTTACATTACACATACTTTATTTATACATTACCATATCAAATAATACATTTGGATTAAAAAAAAAAGATTTTTTTTCAGATTTATCTAGATAAAATTGTTTAGTATAATAATATATTCATCATCTCTTTAAATTAAAACATTATATAAACAGTGGTCAGTAAAAATGTAACTCAAATTTATTTGTCGAAATGTTATCTTATTAAATATTAGGCGCAGAATGCAATGTGCATTAATTTTTGCACAATTTGAATTATCTAATTTAATTGTTTGAATGAAAAAAAATATTATAACAATAAGTAAACATTTTTGGCAACAAGAGATCCAATTCTACTAAATTTTTAAGTTTAAAGAACATCTTAGGGAACATATCGAAAAGGATAATTTTACTAGAGGACATATATCAAACTGTTATAAAAATGTACCCACAATACAAATTTAAAAAATGTAACAATATTACTATTACACAATTAATATAACTGAATTTTTCTAAAAATTGAAGGACAATATTAGTCTTATATTTGCATTTTCTTTAATTGAGACTTTTATGTTTAAAAAATATTTTCAAAAAATATATGCTCATGTAAAATTCAAATACTTTTTTGGAATATTAGTTGACCTATATTGAGAAAAAAAATATTTTAACCGGCAATCAGATAGTTCCAAAAAAGTATTTATATGGCAATATATATTTTATTTTTATTAATTTTGTAATGACATGTAAAAATCTATTATAAAATAAAATAATAATAAAATGAAAAAACAGACGGTGGAGAGACAATATTTCCACGCGCTGACTAGAAACTAGAACAATATGTTTATACATGTAAGGTGGTACGAAAAAAAAATTATATAATTTTAATTCTTAATAAAATTAGAACATCAAAATATTAAATTATACATAAAAAAAAGTTAACAACGAAATATTAATAGTCTACAAAAACGGTTACCCAGATGACAAGTTTGAACCGCTTATACAATATTTATAAAGAAAACAAAAAATAAAAAAACACTTATTTTTTTAAATAGACTTTACTGGTAACGTTGATTTTCACTTAAATATTTTTGACCCTAAAAATTACATTGGAGATAAATGTCCATTACTCATTTTGTTTTTGTCTACATGGAACGCACTATATACAGCAACAGTGTCACCGCCTTCGAAACTAATGCTTTCGTTATCGATATCTTCTTCGTACGTAGTACATGGAGACATCAATGATTGATCGGCAGGTGACTCATTGTGTAAACCATTAGTGTGATAAAACGAAACTGATCTATAAACAGGAAGGAAAAGTATTGTAGCAAGTTATAAAATGTATAACTATTGTTGATTAGTAAATAATTATTAATAAATTAACCTGAAATCATCATCCAGATAAACATCAAGTGTTTCGACTATCTTTAGGAACCTTGGTCGTTGGGAAGCAGTCCAATTCCAACACAGTCTAACTATACCAGCTAACACATCGGGACAGATGATCGGCAAGTTTAGTAAGTTGCCGTCAAGCACATGTGCCATGACCTCATTGTTGCTCTTTTCTGGGTAGGGTTGTGCACCCAGCGTCATCATTTCCCAAATCACGACCCCGTAACTCCAGACATCTGACTGGCTGGTAAATATACCTTCACTAAGGCTCTCAGGAGCCATCCATCGTATTGGCATTTCACCCTTATTTCCTTTGCGATAATAATCACCATTATATATTTGTCGACTCATACCAAAATCGCCAATTTTCACTGTCATATCATTAGCCACCATACAATTTCGGGCTGCTAAATCACGATGAATAAATTTATTATATTCTAGGAACGCCATACCATCAGCTATTTGTGCAGCCATACGAATGATGGTGTATCTAAAATATAAACAAATATTCATAAAAAAAAGTGTTAATGTCTAGAAAAAAAAATTATCATTCAAGTCATACCTATTGGGTGGAGGTGGATCATCTGAATTCTTGCACTTCACCAATACACTTTTCAAATCACCACGACCCATGAGTTCCATTACGAGTAGTGGTGGGTGGGTCTTCGTCACTACACCAAGCAATTTCACTATATGGTACGCTTCACTGAACTTCTTCATTATGGCTGCTTCATTCAAAAATTCTGCATGATACCTCAAAAAATTTGTCTTGCTTACAGATTTTACAGCACATGGTATAGATTGAGGCATCAGCAGGCCTTCATGAACTGTGCCAAATGTCCCTCTACCAAGTATTTTTAGTATAACCACGTCCTCTCGGGGTAACTCCCATTCGTCTTCAAGATATATACCAACATAGCCAGGATTGTTGGCTAGATTAAACATGGCATTACGTTCTAAAATTTTACGACTAAAGTGTGTACGAATAATAACACCTGTTAATCCAATTAATATACAACCACAAATAAAAATTATGAGAATAAGGTGCCAACTATTAAATGCATCTGGATAGGGAAGATTAAACTCTTTGACAGTAGTGTATGGCCCAGGTCCGTACAATGAAACAGCTTGGATTCTGTATTGATAAACACCAGGTTGTATGTTCTTGAAGACATATGATCGGCCAGCATTTTCGTATTCCTTCATAGTAACACACACAGAAACAAAATTAGGCGCTTCCAAACGCTTATAGTGCAGCTGGAAACTATGTATTATGCTATTGATAAGCTTTGGTGACTCCCAAAATATATTAACTGTGTGATTATTCACAACTTCATGTCGTACAGTTTTGCTATCAATAATGTCTGCTTGCTTATTTTCCATAGTCCGGAAGGATATTAATGTCTCTTGACTACAAGAATTGATACTGCTTAGGTTTAATTCTTGTTGGACAACCTCTCTACAAACTAATATGGACAGTAAGTATTGACTGTAATGCCTAAGGTTACTAAGATTAAATGATGTAACATTTTCATTTAACTGAATCTGGAAATAAGATGAGCTACCATCTCTATGAGTAACATTGTTCAACATATTACTGACTGACCACATTTCTGTACAGTTTTCATTTATAAAAGTATTTACAATACTTGGAAAAACAGAATCATCGTTATTTTGGATTGCCAAACATTTTGAATTAATAAAGATGTTGATAATGTTACTGCTGCACGATTCAAACGTGTACCTGTGATTGTTCAATGAAATTAAATCCACATCTATGCCATGTTCAAAAGTGTTGCATACATTATTAACAATATTCTTTTGTGGTTCACACTGTTTTTCACATGTATCATCAGATGATGGTTTAATAATTGATGGGGAAGATTTGTGTGTAATGCCATTCCCATTAAACGTTTTGTTTCTACAGTAACTACGTTCATCCAACATGGCTTGGTCATCGGTTAAATGAATTCCCTTGATAATGTATTTGACTAATTTTCCATGAGGATGTGAAGGAGGTTTCCATGTCAGTTCCACTTCCGAACTTGACACTGGTTGAGCATTAAAATATTGTGGAGAGGACGGCTTTGATGGAAGAGTCTTATTACGAAATATACTACTCATACTTGTCTTGGAAGAAATAGTGTAAGTCTTTACATAATAAATGTACTCTGTGTTTGGTTCTAAATTTGTAATGACATGGAAGATTTCAGTTTCATTTAAAGCTTTTTTTGAACTTATATCATCAATTTTCCAACTAGAATCTTCGCAATCGGTTGATTCGATGGTTTCATTCCATTTAGATGCTTCGATAAAATACACAAGAAACCTTTCCAAATTATCTGCTTCCACAGGTTTGTGCATTTGTAAAACAATAGACTGTGGATCAATTTTAACGGTTTCTACTTGTAAATTATAAACGGTGCATGCAAACTGATCACCGTTAGATATAACTGACACTTCTATATCTGAGAATGCAGGTAGTGTAGACAAGTTTCCAAATTTATATATTTCTGACATACATAACTTAGGATTGTAGTGAAAAGACACTGTACCATTCAATATCTTAACGGGGCGGGTCTCGTTTTCACTGGTAGTCCAAAGTTTTTGTAAATTTTTATTGCCACGTATCACCAAAGCCATTTTATTAACAGTATTTTCACCCCGTATTTCGTACAGGCTCCGCAAGAAGTTCAAAGAGCTCAGCGAATACGACCGTATGATTTTTAACTGATCCAAAATAACTTCTACTTTTCCGATGTATTCTTCTAATCGACGTTCTACGTCCTCGCTGGTCCCATATTTGACTTCGATCTCCAGAGATTTGATCGTTGTACAATTGGTGTGCAAACGGTATTCGTAATTCTTTCTCAACATGTCGTCACTGATCTTAAAACTGTTACAGTTCCGCTGACAGTGTCCGAGTCTCGTTTTCGTACACAGCGTACAGTTTCTTTTGTCCGCGGTCACCTGGAACCCGTACGGACACTCGTCGCGACAAACGCGTTCGAACGGGATGTAGTGGGTGTTCAGATCGTCAGGTGTCGATTCCTCTCTGGTCACCGGCAAACTGTGGCACTCGTCTGCGGTTAAGCACGACCTGATGTGACCGTACCTATAACAGAAAAACAAACTCGATCAGTACCTATATTCAAGCGGTTATGCGAAAAATAAAAACCGATTTTCCTGACATCATATTATTATACTTACAGGCCGTATGGACATTCCCGGATGCACTCGCCTTTGTGCATGTACGCAGTGCACGCAAAACAATGCTTGGCAGAGTGCGGTTCGTCACAACCACCAGCGCAGAGTGGATGACATCCGTTCAACTTGCCGTACTGACACCGACCGACTTCGTGGGACCAGCACAAGTCTTCCGGGCAGCCAAGATTAGAGCATCCGTTGCACTTCGCTGGTTCGTCGTTACTGATCACGTTAATGTCGTTGCTCACTCCGTTGGCGATTTGTCCCCAATCGATTGTCGTCGCGTGACACAATTCTATACAAAAAATTAACAAGAGATATTATTTAAAAAACACAAATTCGATTTCGACCTTTATACATTCAGTGGTATATTGGGTGGGTTGGGGGGAATAGGTGATACGGCGTGTACTCATTCTTTAATTTTTTTTTTTTTTATTGTATACTTACTCTCTAAACGTACAATGATGCGCTCAGCTATACAGTATTACCGTATAGGTTAGTTCCTATTAGAATTTTCAGAGAAGAAAAAAAAAATTCTGTAATAAATTGTTTGTAATTTTCAATCCTCAGATGGCATTTACAGAAGATGTCAGGTGGTTTTCAAACAATATTTTAAGGACTATTTATTTACCACATTATACCGTCTATGATTACATTTATGCATGGCTGAGTACCGTAGGGTAAGTGGGTATACCTACTTTACTTTATGTGTGTATTAATAAATTATATGTCATTTTTTTGAATTGATGTTTCCAAAAATAGAAAGTGTCATCAATCTGTGGTTCCTACAATTTCTTATTTTTTATTGGGATTTTTCAGTTTTCTCAAATTTTTTTGACTTAAATGTAAGGTTTTTTAACATTGATATTTGTTACCTACCTGTATGAAAAAAAGCGCATACCCTTGAATATTATATAATGTAATATACTGCCTATAATAATATCAATTAATATGCAATATTATAGCCGAAAATTTGTATTAGTTTTATTGGTAGACATAAATCAATTATGTATTAGTCCAGATAGAGGCACATAGAGGAATTACTGAAAAGTAGGTATTTACATGTTACTGGTATAATGTTTAAAAGCTGGATAATATTAAATTGTTGACTTTCGTCATCATAAGTATGTGATTTTAAAAACAGACTAACGTAGAACAATACGTCAAATGTTATGGTTTATGACGAAATACATTTATCCGTATAAATTAAAATAACTTATCATACATTATTATATTTTATTGATCGATTATTATTTGACTGACACTAAAAAGTAAATATTTGATACTAATATAAAAATTACATTACTCAGTAACATTAATATTACATTTGACATTTAGTATTATAAGAATGGAACTTTTTATGTCGTCTCAAATTACATACATACCCCCAAAATTTTGCATTTACATATTTGCTTATTTACGCAACCTTTGCAAAAACAATTTTTTTTTTTAACTATTGACTTATTCTGCCGAATTTGATTGACAGTCCACTAAAAGCCTCACAAAGCCACCTAGGTAGAAAATTTAATTCTTCGGTTAAGTTAATAAAAGGTGTTGCAAGACGAGCTGTTGCATTATAAATGTAATGTCGATCGCGTATTTCGTGGTCCCCTTGTCACGAAATAATTAACGACAGCTGATACGGAAACACGGACTGAATCATTAAAACTATATTGCAGGACGAAACTAGATAATCGAGTTATTTCCTAGCAATACTCGTCGTTGTTCGTGTGCCCGGCAAAAGTAAACCTCTCCTCTATAACGATTGGATACTATTATATACGCTACCTATACACAGATTACAGGACACCACGCACGCGCGGATATAGGCCCGATAGTCGCACAATCGTTGTAGTAATAATTACAACATTATTAATGTATTGTCGAAAATAAAATAATAATATGTTAGCGATAAATGATAATTCCATAATAGAAGCGGTGACAAACTGACAACGTCCAGCGACCCGGACGGCAGATTACATCGTGCGTATACCGTTAATACTAACATTACACACAAAAATGTACCATCACAAAAATATAAAATGGTATACACGAGAAGTATAATATCAATTACATACAAATATATATTCGTTAATGTTTTTAGTTTTGTGCGATGATTGACACTCAGTATACCATAATATCTGTTTTTCAAACAGCCCTGATCTCCCCCCCCCCTTTAAAAAAATAAAATAAAGGTTGGGCGTGACTTTGTGGATCCGTTAAAATGTTTAAACAAACAAACTAATGGCCAATTATAAGTATTATAATATATAATTGTTGAGCATTTTCAATTATATAGAAGTGCCTGTTATATGTAGGTACGCATTAAAATATCAAAATAAAAAATAAATGTTTAGGTATAAATTTGGCGGTTGGTTGATCAAAACATGCTCGTTAGGTAATCTAAGCCACTACCACACGTCCTGTTTGTGTATTTTGATAAAAATAAATAAATATATACAGTCAATTGTGAGCAAGTGAATTTGGAATTTCAATAATAATATACCATTCAACCCGTAAGATACAAAAACGTATATTCATATACATTGTACTGTACTAATATTATACCTATCAAATATAAAACTCCAAAAAAATCAATACTATATTTACCATTGTTATTATAAAAACAATAAAAGTATATAATTTATTCAAATAGAATAAATAAATATACAAAATGCTTCAATAATAACATGGTTTGCGAGTTTCGTACAAAATAAGTTAAAACGAAATATTCTAACTCGGGTATACTATTATTTGTCTACCAGGTTACTTTTGGCAGAGGGGTAATAATACGACTACTCAATGCTTCAAACTCTCAAATTGTATTTCAAAGTTTGCATAGGCTTAATATTACAATATTTAACCCTCTCAGTAACTGGTGCGATAATGCAGAACGATCATTTTCAAAGCTAAAAATAATTAAAAATGTTTGTGGAAGTACCTAAACATGATCAAAGACCGTCTCCGAGGCTTATATAGTTATATAAGTTATAGTTTTAATATCTATAAAAATAGAAGTTCGTTAAAAATCGGATAAATTAAATGATAAGATTGCAGAATTAAAATGATTAAATCATTAAAAAAATATATGTACCTAATTTATTTAAAATGTTTTATTATTATTATTGTAATAATGACTATTAATATCAAATTATTTGTGTTCTGCTTTTTTACAAATATGTAAATGACCATGATACGATTTTATACTTAAGTTTCATACCAATGCCCAATAAGTTGATCTTACATTTAAATTAAATGTTTATTTTTTTGCTTAAAATAGTGAATCTTTTGTTTTTTTGTTAAATTTTTAGTGACCAATACGGCAATACAATCTTAGTTACGCCTTACGCCGTTGACTTTATAAGACGATTTATTGCTTCATTAACATAAGAATAAATGTCATTTTAAAATGTGCAGATGTTTTATATTAATGATTAACACGCGGAAGCCATAATTTATGTTATTTTATTTTCGAAGTTCACAAAGTTAATTTTCAAAACTAATTTGCTTTTGAATATATTATTTCCAACTTTTTAATAAACAATATATCGTTTTTAATTCTGTCAATGGCACACCTGCGTCCTGCAAGTGTAAGTCATTGTTTCACCAACAAATATAAAAATATAAAAATCGAGTTTCATCATTATTACCTATAAATCACCGATCAATGAGAATTCGTTATGAAATAGGATTAGTGTTGGGGGACTATCCAGTTAAAAGCACCGGTATTCAGTCACGAGGGTTCTCGGTTTAACCCCAATTCGAAGTGGATATGAAGGGGAATCAGCCACGACAAACAACCTACTTTAGTGCTGCTCCAGTGCCATTAAATTATGGCAGGCGCCTAATGGGGAGATAAGTGATAAGGAAAGTTCTGCAGAAGGCATCCTCTACGGATATTAGAAAAGAGACTTTATGTTCACTATAGTCAGTTATGTCACTAAATCAGTAACCACTAGGTATTATAAATGGTGGTCGAATGACGAAGGATTCTCCATAAATTATTTATTATTATTATTATTATTATTATTATTATTCTTTATAAATTATTGTGATTAGATTTTGAATACAGAAGCCCATATACGGGTCTTATTTCCCATGTTCAAAGCATAGCTACCGTATATATCGTACATTATTATGGTGGAAGCCTCGACGGTATTGAAATCCATAGAATCGGTATTGGTATAGAACATACTACATAGTATACCTGAGTTTCAGTAACCTACATAACAGAAAAATATACTGGAATACTGAAAAACCTTGAAAAAGGTACCGCGGTATAAGAACCACAATATCAAAAAAATCGTATTTAGTACATGGCATTACTTCGATATTGCCCGGTACCTACGTCAGAAATTCCGTAGGTCCTGTGGTTACCGTTCGAGCGATATCTGAGCAATAAACGGTAGGCATACCGAAACGGTATAAACCGTTCTGTCAATCCTATAGTATGTAGTGTGGTCTGGCGACTACAGGTGTCGTCGAGAGGAATAGGATGAGGTGTATCTGATTTAATTTCGCAACGCTGATGTATGATGTAGTATAATATTATGTGGGTACCTACACAATCGTGGAGTTTATTATGATTTATATATATATATTAAAAAATGTACACGACCACTCACTGGGATTTTTCGAAATGATCACGGAACCCCGTGTGATGTTAGTCAAGCTGTACAGTCCGATCTCCCTAAGGTCGACGTTGTCGTGGATCATGAGTGCCAGTCCCGGGAATTGCGGGCTGGGCGAGCCGCGGATCAGCATCAGATTCGGGAACAGCTTTCCCAGGTTGTACAGGCCGGCCACGCGGTACACGACCAGGTACTGAGTGATCTCGCGCAACAGGGGGAAGCTGATGTCGAAGTCGGACGGTTTGGTGGCGTCGAGCAGCACGATCTGCACGTAACCATTGACGATGGTGCAGTTGTGCAACGTGGAAAAGCGTTCGCCGCTGTTGCGCACGTCGATGTTGCCGCAAATCTTCTCCTCGACGGCCGCGGTCGCGACGGACAGCGACCACAGCCAGACGAACGCGGTCCACCACCCGTTCATGGACGGCATTTTTTGAGCAAAGGTCGTTTGTACTTCATCTGTCCGTCGAGAGTAGTGTAATATAATATAATAAAGAGCGTTGAGCTGCACCGCGGCGGCGGTTTGAGACACTTTCAAACCCTTAATTTCCGGTCAGGCACTCGAGAACGACAATCAAAAGAATATTACAAAATATTATGCCTACCTAAGTATGTACAGTATTACCCACGGGTAGGAATAATATTATTGTTGTCATATGAGTACCTCCTGCCGGCCGTGTTTCAACGAAAACCGACTGATTCAACCGGACGTGTGTACACAAATTATTAGCACAGTGTTATTACTTTCTGTCGAACTGCCGCGCGGCTGAATCACGCGTCACATGGCACACACGCAGCGGCTGCGTCGCCGATCATCGCGAACCGAGGAGAACGCGTGGCGCTGCACTCCTCCGACGACACTCGACTGAGGCGATTGTTACTGCTGTGGCGGCGGTGCCGGCAGTGGCGATGACGACGTTTGTTGTGACGACAGCGGCGGCGGCGGTGGCGGCGGCGGCGGCCGTTCTGACTGCGACGACGTAGGCGGCGGCGTACATCTTGTTGCGCGACGCGTCACGGGGGAATCGTAGCGCCCGCACGCGATTCTCCAGCGCCGGTGGGCGGCGCACCCGAAAAATCAAACGCCGAAACGATCGGCGACGGGGTGGAGTGGGCTAGTCGGGTTACGGTACGTGTGGAGGAGAGCGGGTCGCCAGGAACCGTGTGTTTCGAAAAACAAAAACGAAATGAAATGCCTTTCAGCGGCAGCTCTCGCGACAATAATATTCAAAATATTATATTATATTGTACGTCGGCGTCCGAAATGCTCCTGCTCCTGGGCACCGCGATCACTCGAACCGAATTGATCGTCGTGCAGCGTCGTCGTCTGACGATGACGGTGGCGAAGGTTGCGCAGGTGTTGACGGTGGCATTTCCCTCGTCCTGCGGATAATAAATAGATAAATTACATTATAGTTGATTATCGTACTTTATTGGGTCATCGTCGTCATTATTATTATTATTATCATTATCATTATCATTATGAAAAACGTAGAAGTTTTTATGTCGTTACCCGGATATCAGAGGCAAAATATGCATTCGGTATAATAATAATACACTGCAAGGTTGATGATCCGAGGTATTATTAGTTAACTTAATAACACTGCTTAACGGTGATGTACGTGAAACAGAAACGGACACGTGTGCGAGGATTCGAGGGGTGCGTGAATGCGCGCGCGCTGGGGGTAGGGTTATTACGTATTGATGCTGGAGGGGTTGATTTCCTGCAGATCCCCGAGAACACCACTCGAAAATTCATCGAGCTATCATCGCTCGTGCGGTGTCAGTATAATGACAAATGACAATGCGGCTTTATAATTTTAGTGAACTCAAAACTACATAATTTATTAATTTAGGTATCAAAACCGTATTGTTTTCGATTTTATGCGTCATTTCCATTTCAGTTGCGATACAATTATATACAGCTTAAGCTAATCGTTACTATCGCCCAACCCCCAAGTTGTATTCAAATATTGCCATTTTGAATTAAAACAACCTCCATTAAAAAATCCTGGCTACGCGCCTGCCCATATTCGTCATAATAGATAAGCTATCGATAAATACGGCATAATACAAAAAAAAACTATTTCACCAAACTTGTTAATCGTAGGAGGGGCTAAAAGCCACTGAAAAATATCAAACAGAATACTGCAGAGCCCTCATAATTGTAAAAAGTAACCTATTATTAGGCGTTTGCTAGTGCTAGCCCACATAATATTTTATACCAGCAGTTCATAGTGTCCATACATCAATTACCAAAACCATTCTGTTTCGAAATATAAAATTAAAAAAAGGGGAAAAATAGATAACCGCTCTGCTGAGCAGTATGAGTGTCGTGTTTAAGTTAGGTTAGTCACTGTAATGTAAATGTTAATTTTGAATTCAGTGATAAATCATTGAGTGCAAAGGACGATTCTAAGCAGAGACCTATACCACCAATAAGGATGTTTCATCATAAAATGTTTTTTTGATATTGATATTAAATTTATTTATTTTGCTATTATAATAACAAATATATTTTTATAGAAAATATTATTTTAAAAATGTCATTCTTTGTACAAAATATTAAAATATAATAATAAACTATTCACATTAAAAGTTTCAAGTAGATACAAGGAACCCCTACCAATAAATAATATTTTTATAATTCAACAAAATAACAAAAATTGTTATTCTTCCAATAAGGATAATTTCTTCCAATTCGAACTTCAAATGTCTATAGTAAAAAATTGATTTGTTAGAAAAGATTTTTGTTTTTAAAATAAACTACTGATGAGTTATGAGGAACATTGTATTTCATTTTCAAACTTAAGCTTTATAAAAACTGAATATAATTTGCAAATTATCGTAATTTTGAAAACGTTTGAACTTCAAAAGCTAATAAAAAAAAATCATGCTTTTGTATCTTTAATAGCGTAAATTACCAAGATCTTTGATCAAGCGAAAAATGTTAATCAACATTTATGAAAAAAGTCATAGCACGCTACACGATATTTTTCTTCTATACAAGGAAAATAATATATAAATCATAAATATGTTTTTGTTAATAAGTAACCATGACAACTAAAACCTTATGAAAACCGGCCAGAAACAAAAAACATCCCCCAAATCATATTTACTTTAACATTTGGTGTAAAATGAAAACGTCGAGGAAGTACGGTTATTCGTTTTTGAGTTTCAAAGAAATAAAAAAATCGATTTTGTCAAAAACTGTGTTTGAGCAAAATTCCCCGTTTTTTCCTAATTATTAATTTAAGTGTACTGCCGTACTGGGAATTTTTTTAATTTTGACCCTCCAAAAACCAATTATGTTAATTTCCCTACCAGTAACGATATTCAAGCTGAAAGACTAAACATTTTGACAGCTCCAAAAGAATCTGACAGACACACACAAAAAACCACACACATCATAATAAAATCAATATACACTTATCGCTCCCCTCAGAATCTAAATAATTGCTTATTTTATCAGTAACCCCGGGAAAATGTAATAATATGGTTTAAATGTTACGGTTAATTTCAAATAATTCGAATAAGATTATGTAAAAACAAATACTAAAGAAAAGAAATCGCCTGTATGTTCGGACGTCGTAGTATGTATTATTTTATATTATAGTTACAACGGAAACAATTGACGACGTATACGACATCACGTACAACACACATACACACACACACACACACACACACACACACACACACACACACACACACACACAAAGTATAACACCGTTTTGGTGGCCTCTGGGACGTCACAGATTTACATAATTTTCCAATAAAAATGATTAGAAACGATCGAAAACTTATGGGATATACTATCATACAATATTCATACACTACATTAATTCGTATAATATGTGAGCAAGACAGTATAAATACGTCTGAAACAACGGAATTGTATTTTTTTGAAACGCCACGACAGTGGCGATAACGACGACGCGACGTCTGACAAAAACATCTCGGGAAAACAATATAATAATATATCACAAACTGCGCAATTATTAATCGATTGACACCGCGTGTTTGTTCGCAGTACTCGTAAAATGCAATCCACACAAAATATGCGTTATTATGCAGTTCGTAAACGTAAGTAGGCACTGCTGAAACGAAATTCCACGGAAGGGGGTAACAGGAAAATAGCACAAGCAGTAAATAATAATAATATGATATCAACATAAGCAATAAATTGCATGTACGTTGCATAAGCAGCTGTTATCCGGTCAACTATCGGTTCCTCCTCGGTGTCGTGTAATTGTGCATTTACGATCATTTATTGTCCAAGTCAATTTTTGCGATTTTGAAAAACACCTATATACCGTGCACTTGGGTACCTACTATGATGTGAACGTTTGTAAATTCCATTGTGATTATGTTTCGTTTGTGCGTAAATTCCACCGGTACGACTTAACTTTGTTATGCCTGTGAAAAACTTGTGAATTCCATTGGCACTAAACTTTTGTCCTCTATAATAAACGTAAACTCCACTGATAATATTATTTTTAAATCTAAGTTAAAACCTAAACTTAATCACAATAACGCGCATTTCCTTTCCCAATTTAAGGCTAAAATTATTTACAAAACGCAATCAATGTTGTATGCTTTTATGGCTTTTATGGCTTAAATGTTTGATGTTTTTCATTATTATCTTAATATTATCGAGTAATGGGTAATTGTATATCATGGTTTATGATAGTAGGTAATACATATTTTGTAAAATCGACATTCTGTTTCTGTTCTGGTAAAGCGTACTACTAAATTTACCAACTATGAATCATATTTGGCATATTTAGTTTTAACTAAGTAATTTTTTATCGTACATTATATTAAATAAAATATATTTTTTTAGTGCATTATATCGTGCATACAAAATAGGGTTTTGATTTTTTATTATATCGGTATAATTTACATTAATTTAGTACTGGTGAAATTTACATACATTTTTCGGGTCAAAAAAAGTTCCGGTGGAATCTACACGTAATAAATCCTACCCTAAATAATCAACTACCTGTAAAATGGAAGAATTTTAGCATGCATCCCCGTTCCCTATGCGTACATATTTTTCCAAAAATGTCGTTGTATTTGAATCTAATAAAAACTGCAAGGAGCGTCCCTCAAATATGTCGGTTCACTACCCACTATAATATATTATAATATGCTCCTTCTAAACACTTAAGAATTTATAGAAAATCACTAGGTAGAGTAAAAAAATAAGAAAAAACGATAGACGATCGATTTAAAAATTAATGTACAGTTGAATGGACCCACTGCGTCGACTAAATTTTACTATTTATAAGTTATAACTGTATGGTGGTAGTTTAACTACCTAATAATACAAAGTTTATAATAGTGTAATACAATTATAGCACAATATAGATTATATATTTTGAAGCAGCCAACAGGTAAAGACAGACGTGTGTACAATGTTTTGACAATGTCATTGCCGCGCGCCACCTAACGCAAAAAACACTGCAAAACGCTGATCCATTCACAAACACAATCGGCCATGACAGTTGTAGTTGTGCTGTATTGCTGTACTGTATGTGTGGTTGTGGTATACACGCACACCGCAGCCGCTATATCAGCATAATAATATACTATTAATTCACAATAATCATGGGAACATTGAAATGCCCGCTAAGATTTTAAAAACGCCGTCACAACAACACGATTTGACAACAATAATATAATATCGTAACATCCGGTTTCGTCTGCAACGCGGATAAATGATACTATAATAATATACCGTGTCATGTGTATACAGTGATTAAACATATATTTTCTTGCAAACATATTAAAAAACCCAAATATTATTATAATATAATATACGGGGTGATCCGTTTAACATAAGACGCACTCATTCATGTCAGAAAACACTAACGTTTTTTAGATTATGATTTCAAGCCGCGACTAAACAACATTATTAAGGAAAAAAATTATATCATTTTACTGTTTATTTTAGTTTATTTTTTTTAAGTTCTCTACTATTTTAAACGATAACACACATTTTCAATTTCATATTCTTGAGCAGAATATATTATTCAAAGTACTTCGATCAATAATATCAAATTTTAGACAGCAAGACAAAAAGTTTATTGTCATTTAAATATAATAAGTTTAGATGAACAAAGTATAGTGAACCAACATTTTCTGGGGCACATAATTCCACTCAGCTCATCTTAACTTAAAATAGGTATATACTTATTTATCATAGACTATTCGTCTATAATTCGATTTATATACATCTAAGTACTTCAAAAAAGATTTTGTTTTGGAATAAGGAATTAAAAATACATGCTCATTGAAAAAATAGATAAAAATGATAACGATAAAATAAATATATATTGTAGGGGAACGTTGTTTTTCGACGACTTAAAATTATGTAA